AAAGGTGAGAAAGTACATATGGCGCGAGTACATGGACTGATATACGAGAAGAACTATCAGCTCAAAGAGGACGATCCTGCCAGGAAGTTCAAAGGGCGAGGTGTACTACTCGGTGATCAGGTCAAAGACCAGAACATGGAAGCCGCATTGTTTCAGGACTTGGGGAATTCCCCGGCTACGTTTGACGCCTCACGGTGGGCAGATTATTACGGATGCCTTCCTGGCAACGATGTCCAGATGGCGGATGCTATCCAAGCATACATTCAGGCGAGACTATCGGGAACTCCATGTTGGGTTGAACTGCCTGATGAAGCCTGGCATCCATCTGCGAAACGGCATAAATTCCGCAGACCTGTGTGCCGCCTGATCAAAGCTCTGTACGGACATCCTGACGCAGGAACCATGTGGGAACAACATTGCCACACCGCGGTACAGAAAGTAGGATTCAAGCCGATTGGCGACGAATGGCCATCATTGTATTTCCACCCGCAAATGAAGCTCTTACTTGTCATCTACGTGGATGATCTCAAGATGGCAGGACCCAAAGAGAATCTACCCAAGGGCTGGGACATGCTGCGCCAAGAACTCCGATTGGAAGAAGAAACGCCACTGGGTTTGTATCTGGGTTGTCGCATCTCCAAGGGCGAGGCAACGTTGCATGACAAAACGAAGGTGCAGACCGTTACCTACGACATGGAGACGTACCTGGACATGACAGTCAAGAAGTACTGCGACGTGACTGGGTTCGATCCGACAAAATTCAAGACGGTACCATCGCCGAGTCCGGCTGAGGAGACTAAGAATCACCCAGCTCGCGCTCCGGCACAGTCAGGTAAAAGCCATCGATGCACGTGGTGTGGACACACCATGCCTGTTGATAAGGACGGTCGGCTTGTTCCGCCTCCACCTATTCCCAAGGCGCCAGAGGAAGAGGAGATCAACGAGGCTAATCGCGGCGCACTTGCTCCGCAGGCAGCAAGCATTCTCATGAAATTGCTTTATGCCGCGCGCATTTGCCGCTTTGATCTTCTGCGCAGTATCAACAATCTCGCACGCAAGATCACGAAATGGACCAAGAAGGAGGATGCTCTTCTTCATCATCTCATGGCCTATGTGCACCAGTCCAAACATCACATGATGATTGGATGGGTCGGGAACTCCTTGGAGGACTCGTCCATCGGGCTGTTTGCAGATGCGGACTATGCAGGTTGTGGAGAAAGTTTGAAATCTACCTCCGGTGCTCATTTGCACATTCAAGGTTCTCATACAAGATTTCCCTTGGCGGGACTTAGCAAAAGGCAGGGGTGCTTGAGTCATTCCACACCTGAGGCCGAGATTGTCGCGGCCGACTTTGCCATGTCACGTCTTGGATTGCCTGCTATCACGTTGTGGCAGCAGCTTGGGGGGCAAGACCCCAACTTCGTCTTCTACGACGACAACCAGACCATGATCGGGGTGATTCGCACGGGCAAGAATCCGACTATGCGTCACTTGGAACGTACCCACGGTATCTGCATTGGATGGATGCATTCTATCTTTCAGGAAGGTTACGTTTCTCTTGCCTATGAGGTCACTGCCAAGATGTCCGCGGACATACACACCAAGTCGTTCAAGGATTCTGTGTCCTGGACACATGCGTGTCAGCTCATCAACATTTTTCCGCCGGCTCTCATTGGCTCCCAAGAGATTATGGATCTGATGCGCCCTACTCATACCCAAAGTACGGATGAGAAGGGGCAACAGCATTACTCGTTCAAGAGCGAGGTGCCTTGTTTTCCTTACACGCAGACGCCGATCCTCCCTCAGGTGTTGTATCGCGCTGGATTGTCGAGTAAGGAAGGCTTGCAAGAACATGACAGTGTGGACCCCATCCTGGTTGTCAAGTTCCCGCGCATGTTGCGGGGGCCGCCTTCCGCGTTGCCGCCTGGTCGTTACCTTCGGTCGACTTGGATTCTTCGTGAAGGGCAGTGGCACCAGATGGAGGATCGTGCTGCTATCCTTGATCAACCGGGCAAGTTCGACCGCTATGTGGAGCGTGCTGTGTTTCAGTACCATCCGGTCCGGGGGCATTTGCGCCCCGCAGCTATCGCGGACGTCCTTGCGCCGCCGTTTTTGCCTCCTCCTGAACCGCCTTTGGGACAGTCTTATGTGCGCGCCCTGCCCGCCAAATGGCGAGCGGTGGTTGTCACACTGGCGCGTGCCATCCATGGGGGGTACCAGGGCTTTTCATTGCCTCTTTGTTTCAACGGCCAGTCCAAAAGTCAAGCCTCTCAATTCGGTTATGACCAATGGTCGTCAGTGTACGAGGATGTATGGCATGATGCGGCTGAACAGAAACGGGAATATCAAGGATATGATGGAGCAATTGTGCCCCACGTGGTCAATTTCGCCGAAAACAAGCCCAAGGAGGGCCTGGTGATCCAATTCCTCGACCACGATGGAGGGTTGGTCCATACTTACAAGAATCCTTACAGCCGGTGGAAATACCGTATCACTATCAAAGATGCTCCAAAAGCAGTGACGGTGTGGACATTGGTAGGGGTCGATGAGGAGAACTGGTGGAATGAGTATGCTCCAGGCAAGGATTGCATTGCACAGCATGCTCCCGATTCTCACTATGACCCTGGGCTGCAAGTAAATGTTCTGAGTATGGGGCGAGAAGTTGACGACGCCATGTGCGCCTACCTCTTCGATGTGGTGGAAGCAAGGAAAATCAACCCTAACTCCGTGATCTTCATTGGTGCAGGGGTGTTAGGCAAGAATTCGTGGCTGAGTCGGAAAATCGCTGACAACCCTGAAAAGGCCAAATTGCGGACAGACTACCCATGGGGGGAGGTCGTCCAAAGAATTGCGCGCAGAGCGGCATCATGGGGGTTCCAAATTATCATCGAAGTACCTCCTCGAGTATCAGTCCAGGAAACCAAGCAGTACAAGGGACTTCAGGAAGATGTCATGTGGAAGAGCATCAAGATCCAAGGATGCACTCACGGGCAACGTTATACCTTTCGGGATCCTGTATCTCCCGGAACCGCCGTTGAGCTCGGCTACTGCAAGGATGAATGGGAGTACATTGCCGCAAACGTCGCGTTGCATCCTAAGTCGTCTGACGTGTGCTCGTCCAAACATTTGCACATGACTGATTCGGACGCTAAGGATCGATCTGATAAATGCGAGTTGACTAGCCAAATCTCCAGGAGATTGCTTAAAGCCTTGAAATTTCAGGCAACGGGCGATGGGAGATTGGTAGCCATGCCGTCGAAGACTGGTGGACGAAAGCCAGACCGCATGATTGTTGACCTTTGTGGCTTGGGTAATGGCTACGCCGTGCCTAAGTCCACTAAGGGATGCGCTCGCATAACTTGCAAGGAGCTGATTGGCTCTAAGGCCGATGAGGACAACCTTATCGGTGCAATGAAGAATGCGTGCCGGAATGACCTGCGCACACCTGTGCTATTCGTGGCATCGCTTTTGCGATCAGGTGCTGGTCCTGGAAGTAGTGAAGGGGCTTGCGTGGGGGGTGAGAAACGTTCCGGTGGGAAGTACTAGGCTTTGGTGTGGAAACTTTAATACTTTTTAATTGTATGTGATTTATTTCTGTAGTATATGGCTTACAGGGGACGTTTGCATATCACTGGATGTATAGCGAAACAGCCTCAGACCTTGAACCCCAAACAACGGAATCCCTCCTGAACTTAGGGTCAACCCCGAAACCCTGGAGCACCAGGAACCCGGCCTTGAAACCTAAATCTTTAACCTTCTCGCTGCTTAGGCCGTCTGATGTGTGCGCGATAAATCTTTAACCTTAAATCCCACCATACCTTAAGACCCTGAGTCCTAAACCTCTGAAACCTACGCCCCGAGCCAACCCTAAAACCCCAGACCACTGCCAAACCCTGAACACTTACTAACTATCAGCTTTAAACCCTAAGCCCCCACACCCCTTAATTGCCCCTACATGTGTCCTGATGACGACCGACGACCTCTTCGATGCCATCGACGTGGCGCCGGCGCCGTTAAACTAAATAAATAATTTGTAGGGTTTAGTATATTAAGGCTTATAGGATTCATAGGGTTTTTCAGGGACTTCGGAATTCAGGTTTTGTTCACGGGGACCGATGGTCCCCAGGGAATGGGTCCGATGGACCCAAGGGTGGGGTCCGATGGACCCCGGGGTGGGGGACCGATGGTCCCCAAGTTCCTGGTTTGAGTGGGTTATAGGGATTATAGGGTTTCGCTTGTAAGCTAGGGGACAACCCTACGCCCCGTGTAAACCCTAAAAGCCCTACACCTGAAAACCCGCAAACCCTTAACCCTTGAGGGCCTAAACACCGAACGTCCTGAGCCCCTAAGTGTCCTAAGCCCTAATGCCCAGAAGCTCTATGCCCCTAAACCGCTCGAAACCCTAAGACCTTAAACGCCCTGCACACTACGACCCTGAAATTCCTACTCCCTAATCCCGGAACCCTCGAACCCCCCGAAGGTGCCAGAGGCCTGGTCTAGTGCTCTGCTGCAGTGGCTGATTTGGGGGGTTGATTCTGCCCCGCCAGGTGCCTGGTTCGGCCTCCTGCTGCTCCTGGCGCCATCCGTCAGGAGCCCAGCAGCCTGCACCCGGCCTTCTTGAGTCAGCGGTGTTGGCATGTTGAAGCAGCGGTTGTGCGCATGCTTCGGCACTGGCTCAATCTACATGCCATGTTCATGCCACGATCGTAGAGCAGCTCAACACTCGAGGGCAGCAACTCATCACAGTAATCCAGGGCAGCAGCTCACTACATGAGGGCACCAGCTCACAACATGAGGGCACCAGCTCACAACATCAGGGCACCAGCTCACAACATGAGGGCACCAGCTCACAACATCAGGGCACCAGCTCACAACATCAGGGCACCAGCTCACAACATCAGGGCACCAGCTCACAACATCAGGGCACCAGCTCACGAGGGCAGCAGCTCATGAGGGCAACAGCTCAGATTTGGGTTTAATCGCCAACCTTCGTTGCAGCCATGCCGGGCGAGGGACGGAAGTCGAAGATCGTGTCCCAGGCGAAGTTTGCTGCTCGCAAGACTCAGGACGGGCTCGAGTTCGTAGATGCATCATACTGGTTTCTTCTCCTTGCTTGGATCCTGACAGGAGCAGCTGGCACAGGTGCAGGCCCAGCTCCAGGAGGTGATGGCCTTGCAGCAGCAGCAGGCCAAAGCTCCTTGTTGGCATTGGCTCGGGTTTTTTGCTTGATTGGCATGGAAGTTTCGTCCTTGGGTTGAGGCACCAGCGCCAGCAGTGCCATCGCCAGTGCCACCGAAGGCTTCTTGTCTGAAAACAGTGAGTGCTTGCAGGCTTTGTTGATTCATTGTTGATGCAGTGGAAGCTTAGGCTCCGCCAGCTTCGGAGTCGCCATCATCTTCCTGGGAAGCCGCCTCCCTGCACTTAATACTTAAGGGCTTCTCGTATCTTGAATTTCGCAACTTGCCAAACAGAAGAGCGGCTAAGGCCCGTGGCGCTGCAGCTGCACAAGCTGTGCTCGCTGCCAATGCTGCCAGGGACGAGCTGAAGCAGGAGCCTCGCTTTGTTGGATGGCATGAACTCTTTGCTACTTTTCATTTTTGCTTTGGGATGCAGTCAATTGTGTGATGTAGTATCAGTTCACTGACCGAGGAAGTGCATCGAGTCAACCAGCTGGTCGATCGATGCAAAAATTCGGGCGAGCTTCGGCAGATTCTCTATGCCCTGGTGGACATGCCCATAGAGGCTTTTCATAAGGTGGTGAACACCGAGCGGTTCTCGGAGCAGCTGGTTATTTGGCTGACGAAAGCTGCTTCTTCAAGGTGCCACCTCTTGGTTTGTCTCTGCCGGCTTAAGTCTTTGTCAGGGCTCTTCGAGAATGGCAGAATCGTCACGGTGCTCAGCGAGATCGCGGCTCAGGATCCTCACTTTGAAACTGCTGTGCTGGCCCGGAGAGTGTTGTCCCAGTGGCTTCCGGGATCGTTCGTGGAGACTCCTGCTGTGGAAGCACCTCGGGCAATTTATGTTTGCATGTATTTGTTGTTTGGATTTTATGCTTTGGCTTGATCTTCCTGTCATGCTTGTCGTGCTGGACTTCAGGTAACACGTGGATATACCAGCAGTGGTCAGGGCAAGGGCGGCGAGACTCCGAAAGCTGGTGCTCAGGGCAAGGGCGGCGAGACTCCGAAAGCTGGTGCGGGCAAGGGCGGCGAGATCGGCAAGGATGTGGCGGCGAAGGCTCCGAAGGCTGGTGCCAAGGGCGATGCCAGCGATGTGGCGGCGAAGGCTCCGAAGGCTGGTGCCAAGGGCGGTAAGGCCAGTGGCGGGGAGAAGGGCGATGAGCAGAAGGCCAGTGGATCGGCCAGTGGAGGAGGCGGACAGAAGTCGCGAAGCCGCACGCCCAATCCGAAGCGGGCCAAGCGGTGAGCCAGCGGCGGCCGAGGGATGGAAAAAAGTTGAGCCGAGCCAGAAGTGAGTTGCTTGAGAGATTCCTTTTTTAAGATCGAGTCGCCATTGACATGTCTCGCCCAGGCCGTGTCAGTTGCCGATCTTGCCATCGTGCCGGCCTCGTGCAAAGCTCTCGTGTTTGTTGGCTTCAGATATGTTCGTTCCTCGTTCCTCCTTCCATCCAGGTCGGTCTTGGATGCTACCTCGAGGCCTGGCAATGACCCATCGTCGCATAGAAAGTTTCGAGTTGGGCTTCCGGTCAGGTCCGCTCAGGCTGCTCCAAGTGCTTGCACCTCAGCCTTAGCCGCCTTAGCCCTTCGATCCAGGTTTTGTTCGGGGCGGGACCGACGGTCCTGAGGGAATTGGTCCGATGGACCACAAGTTTTGGGTAGGGGTCCGACGGACCCCGAGTGCGGGGGACCGATGGTCCCCAAGGCTTGCAGCATTGTGGTTTTGGTTTGGTGGTTTGGGGTTTCGGGCGGTTTGTCATTTCCTTATCACGCCCTCATGCTTTCCCAAGTGGGACGGTCCTCAGTGCATCCGGTTTTGATCAGGCGAGCCGGGATCGGTTGGTCGGTGGTTCATGTTGCTCCGCACTTATGTTACCATCCTGAGCTTTGCGCAGGTTTCATTCGAGATCCTCGTCACAAAGCAGTGCATGATGGAGATGCAGCCTCCTAGCTGCGATTGTGTGAATGTGAACGCTGAATGAACCTCCAAGCCTGAAGCCTTAACCTTATATCTGAGGCACATCCCTTCCGCTCCATGCCGGCATTGGTGCTCCGGTCCAAAAGAGCAGCTTGAGAGTGAATTGCGAACATTTGACACAAGTGTCTTCACCATTGCTTGCCACATTGTTGTCACTTCAAGCTCGGGGCCTTAGCTCTTCTTGTCCGGCAGTGCGAAAACACGAACCATTTTTCAATTACGCGGGAGGGTCTCTCTTCTCTATTCTCTAGCGGTCTAGCAGCTTCAGATTTTAGCATCTCGTCATGGAGGGTTTCTTTTATATCGGGATGCAAACAAACACGATTGTTCGGGGACACTTGGACAGACATGGCAGTCGCCCGGCCACGAAGCCCTGACGGCAGCTCGGATGCACGAATACCACACATGAAGACTTCCGATATCACAGTGTTTCGTCGTTTGCCCCCGCAGGTGCCCATTGCCGGAGATGCATCGAGAAGCATGGCAGTGCCGTGTCCCTGGACACATGTCCCGTATTCAGAACATGCTGCATGTGCAATGAACTTTGCTCTCAGGCCAAGCTGGCGGTGAAACATTGCAACAGATGCAAGTTCATCAAGAACGGTGCCAAATGGTGCCGAGGTCTTACGTGGACGAGGCGGCTCTTCCATCGTTCGCGGGTTACTTCTAGTGCTGCCAACGCACACGTGCAGGCCCGATGGTGTGACTGTGCCATGGCTTGCCGAGACAAGCTCGACTCAGCCGTGGGGTCTTCTGTGCGTCGTTTGCAACAGGGCGGCTTCCAGTCCTGACACTGCTTCGTCTGCATTCATCAGAGGGACGAAAGGTAGACAGCAAGACGTCCCTTGGCATCTGTTGGGCTTTCGTTCGGAGTTCCAGCACGAAAGACAGTCTGGTAATCTAGAGTGCCGTGCTTGCCTTTCCTGAGGTGGCCTCAAGCTGCAAGTACGGTGACCGCCTTCAGCTGGAAGATTTACGGCGTCATGGACAGAGCGACTTGCATTTCCATTCGTTGCAATCGCTTTGTGCTTCCCTGCCGACTGATCCTGTGCAGCAGAAGATTGATAATACAGTTCCCACTCCGGCACAAGTACGAGTCAGTGTGGAAGTCGTGCTTGCACCAGCAGCTGGCCAGACTTCGACTTATACTTCCAAGTGTGAACTTGCAGGGCGGGGCGACCCTGTCAACTACCCCCTCGCCCGAAGCGGAGCTGCAGAACATCCAAGAATAATTGAAGCCATTGCACAGACTCTCCTCGACATGGACCGCGAGCTCTTCAAGGCATGTGTATCAGCTGGTTTTTCGCAGGCGGGCTTTGTCCTGTAATCAGCATGGGCGATTGTTACGATGTGTTGCCTTTTCCTCATGTGCATTTGACAGGACAATTCTCAAGACTACGCTTCTATGCGGGTGAAACTTGTGGACAAATCCTTTAATGTCCATTGCCGGCATCTTCAAATCAGCTGTGTCCATGGCAAGAAGGCCTCACTATCATTTCGGGCCTTAGTCTTGGCTTTTGATTGTCATATGATGTTACCCCTTCCCAGACAGCCCTCGAAAAGTGCGAGATCATCCAAGCCGCTTTGCAGAGGGTGATCCCAGATGACGGGGAACGTGCGCATTTTCAAAACATCGTCCAGGCGGGTGGTCTTCTAGACTGAGTCTGAGGTTGATTTGACGTTCAGCTGTGGAGGTGTTTACAACAGACGGCGAATCCGCCGAGACCCTCGCAGGTCGGATGGCTGCTGCTCCTCTTCCTTATTGCTTTGCAATGCTAATGAAATTATTCTGGTGTCTCTGTTCCCCACTTGTGTCTGCCTGAAATCAGCGGCTGAGGTGAAAGGTGTGTTTCCCGGACTGCTCTGCACCCATAGGTGCATGATGCACTCGGCTCAACGAGCCCTGGAGGCAGCCGTGAAATCAGACACTGCCCTGGCAAAGCTCCTGGACGATTTGGTCTTCCGCTACTCCGCCATTAACAATGTCAAGGATCCCGGCTCCCTGACGCGAGCCTTGCACAATTGCTGTCGCCTCAAAGCCAAGTTCGACGAGAAGGCCCGTGCAAACTTAGATGCTGTGGATGAGCTGGTTGGAAAGGCTTCGTCGGCCTCGTGGGCTCCACAGAGATTCGACAGCATACTATCGGCTGTCAAGAAGATAGTTTTGAACTTGGATAGTGTTCTGGAACTTCTCGTGGAGACGGCTTCCTTCCAAAACTGCCAGCAAGAGTGGGCTACCAAGCTACTGGCGGCGCCTTGCCTGCCAAACCGATGTTCCAACATGTGTTAGAGAACCTTTTCCTGCCATGGCTGCAGGTGTTTACGGCTCCAAATATCAGGGCTTTGGCCCTGCTGACGGAGTGGTTGAGTCTTTGCTCCCGCTACGTTCATCTGTACGACAAGGACCCTGTCAAGGCCTCCTCGCCGACGGCTTGCATCGGCAACATCGCCCGATGCTCCTCCCTGGCCGATCTTCTGAAAAAGGACACCCTGTGCCCCGCATGGCTCCCGGTTGCATCTTGGGGTTTCTAAGCCGTGACTGCTGCAGGAGTTGAACGACATGTTCGAGCTGAAGAGCCTTTCCGGGCAGGCCCAGGTACCTCATGTCCTCAACCCCAAGTACACTGCTGGCTATGTTTCTATAGCCGAGCGAGCGATGAGGTTCAGCTTCCCGGCTATGGGATTGGTTCGTTCTTGTCCGTTGCTTCCGATTGCATCGCTTTGCCAGGTTCGGAGCGAGCAACTATTGCACACGGCCGTCTGCTGCAGCACTATGCAGGCACTGGCATAAGACTCAGCCTCTGATCACGTTTTGGCTTTATCGTACGTGGATTCGACAGGCCACGACGAGAGCAACTTCAAGGAGGACCTGTGCAAAGAATTGGGTAGTATTCATAATATTTCCCACGTCTTCGTCCAGAGCATCGCAGTTTGGCACACCACCGGACTGGCGGGCAGCTTGTGCCCCTTTGATGTGCTGGAGTGGTGCAAGAAGCGGAAAGATGACTGCCTGCCCCTAGCTTGCGCCAGAGTACAGTTCGCCTCTGTAGGTTATGTTGTGCCCCGCATTGAATCGTTGATTGTCTTCCAAGGAAAGACTGCTTCGGCCCGTTGGCGGAAATGCTGCAGGTGGATGCTGCCCAACTGCAGACTGAATTTCTCCTCGCTCGGCCGACCGCTTTGCATTTGGCGAGGTGGGCAAGCTAATCGGAACATTTCTCCTCGGCACTTACACATGCTTGCACAGGGCTGGCAATTGTGATTACTGGCCTCAAACTATGAGCCACTGGGGGTCCCGGCTCCCGGTGCTTTGCAAAGTTGCTCTGGCCTTATCTTCTCTTCCAAGTCTGCAAAGGCTGTGCTGGACCTGTTGGATATAAGATCACTATCACGGTGTTCAGGTTCGCTGTTTGCTTTGCATCTTCGACTCGACCTCTGCCGTCGAAAGCGGCTTCTCCACCTATCGGCTTTTGACTTCGGGGGTCAAGGGCTCCATCACAGAGGCCCATCGCGATTCCTACATGAAGGTGTTCTGTGACTCACCTTTGCCGCATGAGACTCTCGTCTGCCACGCCGCATTCTACTAGGCATTACTCTGTGTCGTATTGCTAAGGATAGCAAAGCCAACCGGGGCTGGCCAATGCTACGAAGCCACGCCCTTTTGCAGCCGTGTCCTCCACACCTACCGTCGTCTGCACGGCGGCCAGGGGAAGAACACGAAGTCTAAGGATCTCCCCCGTCGGCTCATGAAGTCACGACTGCGATCAACAGGCATGAACGCCTTCGATCGTCGCAGAAGCGGTGAGGTGGCAGCTCTGGCGGACGAGCTCTCCAAGCCTTTGGAAGCTCGTGAGGTCGAAACCATGGTGGCCCTGGACACCGTGGCGCAGCAGTCAGCCCAGGACTGTGTCTGCACTGTTTTTGTCCTGCGTGTCCTGCTTCGACCGAATGCTTGGTGCAACCTCGTTCATGGCAGGATCGTGCTTCGCAGAAGCAGGTTGATGTCCTCCTTGCCCTCAAGAAGAAAGCCCGCGAAAGGCAGCAGGCTTTCATTCACGGCCCGCATCACGAAGGTGCTTCCAAGCTTAAGGAGCTCGAGCAGCAAGTTCTTCGGAATGCCGAGCAGTTGTCCCAAATGGAGCGGCGACAGATGGCCCGGCACAGCAAGTCGTTGGAGCCGGGGCCGACTTGCATTGTGATTCTGGGTGACAGTCCGGAGGAGAAGCAAGCTCTCAAGAGGCGAATCCTGCAGGTGTGTAGGGCCCGACGAGACATTGTCATCCACGGCTGCACTTCCTTCTTGAGCGAGTTGCATAAGCCTGCTTTCTACGAACATCTGCCCGCTCAGATCGTTTACCTGTGCTGCGAATCTAAGACTCTGCATTGGCTGACGGACCCTGTCCTCGACGTGACTGCCGAGCCTGATGATAAGGACAAGAAGAACTGCCACATCATCTTGGCCACCCGGCTCTTGGGCGGTTATGTCTGTGGCACAAGCTGGTTGGATTGCTTTCCCGGCAATGACTCCGGACAGCCACTGCCAGCCTCTTGACTGGGACAGTGCTGTGCTTCTCGCTGTCCTTGCTTGCTTGCATTTTGGTAGTCTGCCAGGCTCCCATTTTGCAGCTCCGTGCGGCTGCTCTGAGCCCACACCAAATCTACCTGGGAAAGCAGATGCCGGATTGGGTCGGCCAGTTCTGGGCGCGACTGCACCGAGGTCTTGTGGACAGTCGAATTGGTACAAATGTCTCCATGGTTTTGCGGGACAAGAAGAAGAAGCAGCTGATTCTCGCCTGCATTCAATCCTGAAGCAGCAGCCGAAAGAATATTAAAAGTGTTTACTTTCTTTCCTAAACCCAGAACTTGTCGGAAATGCCACTCCGCGCCGGACCCTCCCCAGCGACGCCGGGTCAGTGACCCACTGTCGGAGGAGACCATCCGGGCCGGAGCCGCTGTAGCGACAAGAACTTCGTAAGACTAAGCCTTATATAGCGATTGTTGTCGGACATGCCACTCCGCGCCGGACCCTCCCCAGCGACGCCGGGTCAGTGACCCACTGTCGGAAACCGGCATACGGCCCGGAACCAGTGTAGCGACAGGAATGGGGTTTTCAGAATACTTTCTTTTTGACCCGGATTTGCCAAGGAGGAAGCGGACCATGATCGTGGTCCCGGATGCTTCGCCGGGAATTCGGCGAAACCTGGTCAAGCACAAGATTCCTGGACGATTGGTTTCCGCGCAGGACTGCCTCCTGCAGTTGAGCCAGCCTCTTGTCCCAACATTGGTGTCCCCTTACGGAATTCCGCAAAGGTTGTGCATGTTGCTTTGCTTGCCCAGGTGGATCTGAGATCTTTTCTTGTGTGGGCCTTTTGTACAGCTCTGATGGGGCGAAAGATCCTGTGCTTGGATCGTGACGGGGAATGATTCGGGGCTTTCTTTACGGGGCTTTTATCTTCAGCCCGACTGCCAGTCATCAGTCGGGATGCGGAGTTTCGGCCTGAACAACTCCGGTCGCTGACTTGCAAAATGGATCCGCGGCAACCTTGGCATTCAAGTTCAACCTGGCCTGTGCAATCCGAAATCCTGTGTGCAGGCATCATCTCGCTTGATGCTGACCGTAGGGTTTCAGGACTCAAGTTTTCCTTGTGGGCATGGCGCCCCGTCGCAAGTCGACTCCGAAAGCCTCGCCGGCCAAGTCTCTGAGTGGAGACCCGGTTGTTGTGGAAGAGTATGCTAAGGCCTGGGATACGGTGACCTCGGCTATTGACTCTCTGAAGAGCAGTGGGCAATGGGTGTCGAGCGGCACTGCCCCGGGAACTGTGCCCGGCTTGACAAATGTTTTGCCGAATGACTTCAAGGGCAGGGATGTCCCCGTGGACACGCCGAATCTGAGCAGCAATAGCTCTTGCCGCCTGGCTGTGTGGTGTCGTGCACACACGGAGAGTTCTTCGTTAGGTCTCTTCACTGTGTCGGTGTTTTGGGAGACCTCGAGCTTCAGACCCCGGGCTTCGCTGCAATGTCTATCTCAAGATCTGACATCGCTGGTGCCCGCGAGTACTGGTACGGTGGCTCCTCCGAGCCGCGCGAGCTTCCGATGCTGACAGTTTTGTACACGGATGAAACTGAGAAGCGACTCGTCCAATGCTAGGTTTGCTGAGTGTGGACCCATTTGATGTTATTCTTCCTATGCCAAGGGGGGGCTTCCATCCGGTCACCCGCTTGGCGATGATTGCAGCCTTCATCGTCGAATGGGCTTCGGCGACAACGGACTCCCGACGCGAGCAGTTCAAGAAGCTTGCCGGTGTGCCTCGGTTTGCATTGATCGCTTGTGGCACTTGGGCAGCTCCCGCATCTAAAGAATCTAAGGCCATCACGATGCGCCTGTTGAAAGGCGCGGGCGACAGCGCCGATTGCTTTTGGCAGGTCCACGCGTTTGGCGAAGACGCTGAAAAAATCGCGCAAGAGGAGAGCAATGCATACTGCATGCGTCTCTCAGACAGATTGCATCAGCGACTCGGTTGAGATTGGGGGACGACTCACTGGACTGCTTCTCTCTCCATGGCGTAACTTAACTAACACTGAGATTGCAGAGCCTCCTCAAGAGCGTCGGAAAGCGCCACACGGCAGAGGACATCTTTCAGGAGTTCCAGGTGGGTTTGGCTTGTGTTAACTTGTGTTACCCGTGAAGTCGTGAAGCCCGCACGCCCAATCACAGGCGAAAGTGGCGGACGGCAAGCTCAGGTATGCCAGTGAAGAGAGCAAGGCTGGGAAATTACGACTTTTAGCAGCTGCTGCCCACACACATTCGTTGCCAGATCCGCAGCCCTGACATGATCTCCAAGCTCCTCCGCTTACGCGAACGCTCCACTCAGGCGGGGGTATGGGAGACGATGCGGGAAATGCAACGGTCGACCGAGGGTCCGACGTGGATGTCCAAGTGGGCGACTGCTGTGAGGGTTCTCGGGCCATCCAAAGATCCTCAGGATTTCGCCTATATGATCAGGCAGTTGGCGAAGGGGTTTCACTGCCCGGAGGAGGTGAAGGATAGCTTCGTCAAGCCTGTGGGTCAAATGACGAGGGATCAGGTGGAATCGACGTGCAAAGCATTGCTGGCGACAAGGCGCATCATGGCCCGAGTGGCCAAGGAGTGCGGCGGGGACCCAGCCGCCGGACAGGATAAGTCTTGGACGGATGCACTGTCAAAAATGCTGCTGCCCGATGCGGTTCCTGTGACGAAGGTTGATGGCAGCCATGTGTCGGATGCTTTCCTCGGAAAGAGCGACAGCCAGGTGGCTGTCCTGCAGCTGCTGCAGGACCTGAACGATCTCAAACACTTGAAGGTCGTGCAAGCCGTGTCGGGCTATGTGGACAATGCGAGTTCACAATGGTCCGACTCGCGAGTTCAGGCCATCGTCCGTGAGGCGGTTGCAGAGTCGCCGGGCAGCAACAGCAGCAGCAAGGGCACATCTCAGACTTCATGCCTGCCTCATTCCTTGCTTCCCAGGTACGGCAAAGAATTCCTGCGACCCACCGCAGTGACCGAGCCGGAGCCTGCACCGGCACCGGTGCCGGATGAAGGGCCTCCGGCCTGGAACGATGGTGATATGATTGAGCCCCCGGCAACTCCGGGATCCGTTGACCCGGGGGCAATGCACAAGCAGCTTCGGAATGAAGTTGACAGGGAGGCGCGAAGGCATGTCAAGTACCTGGTGGTGAACGACGTGTTGGATAGCAACGGTGTCGCCACCACGCTGACCCCGAGCCTTGGTAACGGAAGCTTGCTGCCACGGCTCTTTGTTTCCGCATTGCGCCCCTAAACTAAGGATGTTGGATTTGCTGAAGCCCCGCAACAACAATGGGGAGCATCGTGTTTGGGTGTTTGACAGTGCGATGTTGATGGAAACCGGAGCTGCATGGAGCTCCACACACAACGTGTACAGCCGAACCCCTCCCTTTGCCAAGGCTGCTTTGTGGCTGTGCCGCACATCGACGAGAGTAGCACATTTGCCAACCTCTAGACTCTAACTGTCATAGCCAAGGCAGACTGCTTTGAAGTTGTTCGCCCAGACGGCTTCGGATGCCCAAGACATGTTCTTGGCCTTTGATTCTGGATCATCGAAAGGTGCAGCCGAAATTCGGCGATCTTTCAACAAGCTACAGAAGCAGCATGAGACTTGGGGCCAGACCTCCTGGTCACTGTTGCCCTCGAGCCAGCTCGACTTGGAAGCCAGGGCGAAATTCAGATCGAGCGAGCTACTCGGCTGGAACGTCGCAATGCTTGGGATCATCCAATGACTCCCCTTCCCAGGAACCCCGCCGATGCCAGAGGCGGCAGAAAGCGCAAACGAGCCGCGAGCCTCGCGAGTCTCGGGGGCCCCGAAGGGGCATTCGTGCTCAGTGCCGGCTTCACTTTGCCAGCTCGCGAGCTTCGTTTCTTGTCGATGGCCGCCGGGACACTTTGGGGGCCACGTCGTTAGCCTTGTGTCCTTGTGTCGTAAAGGACGTAGATGAACATAAAACCTGGCAGGACCGACTCCTCCTACCCGTACCTGCACACGCCTTTGCTACTCCCGGCCGATCTGCAACCGATGGTTACCCGAGAGGACAAGGAGCAGGCGGATTTGTGTGCAGATTAGTTCAACTATATGGTGCAATCCTCCTGCCTGCAAGGTGCTTCTGTCGCAATCAGACGAAGCAAACAAAGACAAAGTCGTCCACGACCAGCCTCCTCTGCAGCACTTTGTCGATGATATTCGCAAGGAGGCCTCTTCAGACTTGATGTGTCTTTGGAGTTTTGGACTCCAGCTGCCGTCATGACTCGCTGCCTTCAGGACCTCGTTCCACTGCATTACTGGAGCAAGCACGAGACGCTCTACAAGGAATTGATGCACCTGTTGCAGGCCTGCTGCCTCGTTTTGTGGAGCCCGGATCCAACACTGCTGCTGGCTGCAGTTGCCACTTAGCAGATCTTTGGCCGCTTTCCACTTGTGTGCTGCAGAAACTGATGCCGGCCTGGGGCCGTTCACACACCGAGGAGAGCAGGGTTTGCGCCATTGTTCTATGCCGCTCCACGAGACACATGCAGATCTTGGACGAGTACTTGAAAGCAGCGATTCTTGTGAAGATGCTGGACCCGAGCTGCAGCCGCTTCTACCAGCAAGGGCAGGCGATGTCAGTGCCAGCCGCCCCGTCGCCACCGGCGCCAGCGATCGTTGCAGCACCGCGACATGACAATGATGAAGATGAGCCGGCTCAAGAAGAGGAGGACGCGGAGGAACCGATGGATGACTTGACGGAGATGCTGCAAAACATTGACTCGCCAGTGTGAACACAATTTTAAGGACCGTGCAGCGAGAGGTTTTGTGTCAGACATAGTGTTACAGATAAATTCTGCCAACAAGACAGCCGTTCTGCTGCAAGGGCCCAGGCTTTCGATGCAGGAGGCTGCCATTGGCACTCCCGCTGCACAGACAGGCCGATGATGGAAATTGCTGACAGATTCACTTTACGAGCACTGCCACATGGCTTGCATGGCCCTTGACAGTATCAGAGCTTCGATCATGTGGAAGAGCAGCCATTTAAGATTCCGGGCCCTCTGGCGGCTTTCAGTTTTGTTTTCGAGTGCTGGCATGTCGCAGAAAGATGCCGATGCTGTTGCCATGGTCCAGACGGGGGCCGCTCCGAGACGCCGGAACCTTATAGAACCAACGTAGTGCATCTAAACCTTGCCAGCACATGGTTGAAGCTGCAGGCTCGAAGGTCGTCGACATGTCGGCTGACCGGCTGAAGACCATCCTTTCCCTGAAGCAGGTGCTCCGGAACTTTGTGTCAAGCACCTGAAGTCAAGATCTCAATTGGCAGTCCGATCCCGAAACACTCTGGAGCTTGTGTGACCAGCTTGAGCCGTGCGAGCCTCAAAGCTTCATAATAAGATGTGTGAGCCAAACGTAGATTGTCTCTGAAAGCAAGGTCTGCTCCCGCCAAGAAGAAGAGCTCTTCCAAAAGTTTGCCCCGTGCTTACATGCTGATTTCTCACATCCTCGCGAGATTTCTCACTGTATGGAAAAGTTGACTCCCAGGTTCTGTGGTGCGAAGGAAACGGCTTCCAAGCCGGAAGCGAAGCAGGAGGATGGCAAGGCGGCGGAGCCATCCGTCCGCCACGACTCGAAGGGCCCGGCGAGCCCTGCCAAAAAAGGGCGAACAGCCCAGGTCAAGTTGCAGGAGCGAGAGAAGAAGGCTGGGAAGCCTGACAAGGCGCAGACGACAAAGCACTACATGTTTTGCTCACTGCTCTCGAAGCCGAACATGCAGCAAGCCGTGAATCACATGCTGAAGCTGATGAATCCCAGTGTGACGTACACGTCTTTCGAGATCGTGTATGCCCCGCAACGGGGCGCGGCCGGGATGCAAGCTGGCATTCCCTCGGCTTCACGGCCCATGTACGTGGTGGCTCCAATGCCCGCCGCCGAAGGCCAGGAAATGCTTCATTCGCCTAGAACAGTGCCATCTGATGCTCAGCTGTACATGTTTCATGTGGCAGGAGCCGCAGGGCCGCAGCTATGGACCTACCTCTCCTCCTGCAAGGACTCTGCTGTGAACACTCTGAATGCTGGCAAAATGGTGACGGTCGACAGCCGGCTGCCGTGGACATGGGTGGCGGCCAATTCCCCTCGGCTTTGCATCATCTTACGCCATGCCGGTGCAGGTGCTTTCAAGATGGGGGAGGTGCAGAGGGCCCTCGCTGGTGCCGGCTTCCCGAAGGCCGGTCCAGATGTGAGGATGATGACGCTTCCAGAGGCAATGGCATCCGGCCCCAGGCTCATGAAACTCGGTGGCATTAACTAGCTAAACTTTGCAGGTTTCTCACCTCATCGTCTGGAACTCCTTGCGACTCTAACTTGCAGGCTTTTGGCTGCCAAGAAGTACAAAGCGGACCATCCATCGCCCATCAAGGCGGGATTGGGGGCCCCACGTGCTTGATAAGATGCTGCCTGTTGTGCCCGGCAGGACCTTCAGAGCAAATACTGCTCCAATTGCACTTGCGACTCGTGCAATGATATCCGTCGCAAGCACGCTGCTCGCCTGGCACAGTGAGATCGCAAGCAGGCCAGTTGGCAAATATGTTAAAGAGACAGCTCTAAAATACAAGAACGGGGTTTTCACGGCTTCAGCTTGCATCTCAGATTTTGACACGGCAGTGGCAGCCCCGAGGGAGTGAAAACAGGAGCCATTTCTATGCCGGAGTCTCATGTTTCTTGCATGGCAGTCCACTCAGTCGCACGCTCAATCAATACAGAGCTGTCAGTTTTCCATGACGACGGCCTGGCACACTCTAGCAGCAACCAGCCCATGTCTGCAGCAACAACCAAAGTGCCGTGTGCGGCCGCCCATCATATGAAAAAAACGGCTGTCAACAAATCATATTCGCATCATCTCAGCTTTTCGTGCTGGAGTCACATGGCTGCCGAGTCCAGTTTCATCAGAGCACTGGCCTCAAATTCCGCAGCGTGGTGTGTGATGTCAAGTCGAATGGCGGGTGTTGCTGCCGAGGCCTGAAGGTTGCGACTGTCTGAAGCTTTTCTTCTGGAGCTGGAAGCTTAGCACGTGATTGATTCTGCCCGCAAGATGCTTTCGTTTATGCTCCATGAATCCATGACTGTAGGAGCACGAGTCCATCAACCTTAGTCTTCATTGAGATGCTTTTCAAGTCCTGTGCGATGGTGCCTTCCAATCCACCAGTCTAGATCTTGGAGCCCTGTTCGAGACGATTTGGGGTTTCGATTTGACGGATGTAATGGGTCCGACGGACCCAAGGCGGGGACCGATGGTCCCTCAAACTTTCCCCGTGAAGTGTGCTTCATTTCAACCAGAAGCAAAAGCCACGGAGAGCGGGCGGTTTTCATCCAATGGGTTTCTAGCTGATTTTGACGCAGGGCACAGCCGGGCAGGGAGCAGGGGACAACCACAATTGGGAGGACAACCACAATTGGGAGGGTCTATTGGAGACAACCACAATTGGATTTCGGAGGACCCTTGAGGCCAGTCCCCAATTGTGGTTGCCCTCCCAATTCTTTCAAGGCGGAGCCTGCAACAAAAAATTTTTTTCCTTTCAAACACCTTTAAAAGGCGTGGATTTGTCGTATCCGAGCGTTCGGCGCGAACGGTCGTTGTTTTTCAGGTCCATTTCGAATCCCTTGAACGACGCTGTTTTTGAAGAATTGGTCGGGCAACCACAATTGGCTGAGGAATTGTGGCCGTCCAACGCCCAAAATGCTGGGTTCCACTCCTGACCTCCTTGGACTGTGTTAATGGGAACGCATTGAATCTTGCTGATCTCGCTCATTGGACTTGACCCAGAGAACTGTGCTATGTTTGAAAACAAGGCATTGGCTGAGACGTGCCGAGTCGTCCGCCTCAAAGGCGGGACTGAGAGCAACATGTTTGGATAGTTTTACGCGATGGTGCTGCCTGTAACTTGGGCAGGACTTGCCATTCGGCTGTGATTGCCCTGCTGAGACTCGTCAAGGCACTTGATTAAAGTGGCAGTTCAAGTGATTCTGATGAAACAGCAGGGAATCTACAAGTTTAAACTTGATGTCCGGTTTAGCACCGTACTCTGCAATCCTGGGCCTTAAGACCCTTAAGGTTTCAATTCTCATGGCATGCAGAAAGACACTGAGGAAGTTGGAATGCCGTCTTTTCCATACACCTGCCCGAAGTGCGGGTGCAAGAGCCGAAGGAAAGGCATCCCATGTAGCAAGTGCCACTTGATTGCAACGACTTGCACACAAACCACTGAAGCCTGTTGTTCTCCTAAATTCCAAGGCGAGCCGGGCAATCAGAGAGGGCGCAATCTGGATGAGCATCGCAAGATGCAGACAGGCAACAGCTGGGTTTTGAGAGACAAGCGGGTCATGCCGACGGATAGCACAGAGTTGGCGGAGTCGGCCACCATGAAGGGCATCAAGCTGCAGAAGATTCACGACTATGGTATTCTGCTGCCGCATGACCTCAAGGATGGCACGCCGATGAGTTTCCAGCAAGGCAGAATCACGGCTGCAGTCAGGCGGCTTGGGTGCTTTGTTTTGTGCTGCCGCTTGCTGCAAATAAGGTCTCTGCAGCGATCTTGCCGTCCTCTTGAAAAAGAAGGAGAAGGAGGAGAAGAAGGAGGCCGGCTTCACATCACCTCAAATCAGTCAGGTCATTCCAACCAAATCCGAAGGTCCCGCTCGCCGTGCAGCTCTTCTGCACTTCCTTTACACGGCACTTCAGCTGCACGGGCAGACACAGGGCAGAGCCGGAATCCAGCCGGAGCCATCTTTGATCATCAGCAAGACACAATCCGAGGCAAGACGCCGAGCCGGCGAGCGGCAGCGGCGGCACCGGCCCGGCGAGCGGCAGCGGCGGCACCGGCGGCGGCTGATCAGCTCGTCGGCCGGGCGAAAAGAGGGGACCGCTGTGCATGCATCGGCAGGTAGCAACACACACACCTAAATCCCAGACCCCCAACACAAACCATTGAAAAAGTATTGACTTTTTTCACCCGGAACACTTAAAAGCCTAGAGTACAAGGTTTTCAGAAGTATCTTGAAATCTCTCAAACGCCTGCTGAAGAAGTGTGCGGAATTTGCCGACGTCTATTTTTCGCTTGACATGCCTTCTTCATGTTCATGTTGGTCTTGGCCAGAGTTGCATGCTCTTGTTTCAAGTGGCAAAGTGACGAAGGTTAAGATTGATGACCATGTTGGTGCTGGTGGCGATGGTGGTGGACGCAGGATCATGTTCTCTAACATGCCTGAAGCGGATCGTTTGATGGTGAGACTGGATGATTGCTTGGACCATGAATCGAAGAGCAGTTTGTTGCAGCGCATTGATGTTTCATGGCGGTCGATTGCGAGAAACGTTCGCAGCCTTGTTCGAGCTCATGTCAGTGTCAGTCACGATGCACATGAATCTGAGGACATTGCATGGCAGCAACATCAGTGTGTAGACGCTGATGAAGGGGCTATTAGACAGCCCCAACTAAGGAACAACTAAGGTCTGACCAGACGGATCGGGGAAGGGTGCCTCTTACGGAGAACCCGGAACCGTGAAGTCGAGTAGGGTGTAGGGACTTCTCTCCTACGGAGGAAGGACCGAACCCCGAGCCATGGCTGAAAGCTACAATGCCTACGAGCTGGCCTTCGAAGGAGTGGACCACGAAGAAGTTTTCCCATCTGGTGGGATGCTGCGGACGTTTCTGAAGTTCCACAAGTTCCTGGAGATGTATTCTGGGGATTCGTCGCAGAGCGTTTCGCTCCCGCCAAAGATTACGAAAGACAAAGTGGTCGACAATGATCTCATTCGCACATGGGCAGCTTTCAAAGCACCTCCGTTGGTCTTGCTGTTCACGTGTGCAAATCTGTCGCCAGGAGGGGATCTTTCCATTCGAGTCCGAGAAATCCTCAAAGCTTGCATATTTGCTGCCCCGGAGGAGTACATGGACAAGCCCTATGGGGAGATACTCGCCATGGTCATCAAGTTTGGTGGAGGTCTCAAACACATTGTTGCTGACTACGAAGGGAAGTTCAGTGCCATCACAAGATTTATGGTGGACGAGGAAGTGATCCGCGATGATGCAAAGTTGGCTGTGGTTGAACTGGAACAAGAAAGAAAACAAGTTCGGTTCGACTTGAACACTGCGACCAGGAACATCGTCAGCGCGGACGTGTACTACAATCTCGCCGTTCTCATCAACTCCGTGGAGACGCCCTACCAGACCGTGACAGACACGAGAATTCAACAATGGTATACGGTGAATCAGGACTACTACCACAAGTTGCCCATGTCAGGCAGAGCACCTGACCAATCCGACTTGTTGGGAGAGCCTACGTTATGTAGGGTGTGCAAGCTGATGTACATGTTCGCAAAGCACACTGGGTATGGACTTCGGACCTACAACCAGGAATGCGCAGCGAGCAACGATGGCGCTACGCCAATCAACGTCACCAGCTGGCTTTGATGATGCGCACATTGCCTCAAGGCATGGGACATCCGCTCGCCTTTGCGATGAACTCACTCCAGGCGTTCAGTGTCTGTCTCCACGTGCTTCATTCCTACGTATCATGGGTCGATCCACAAACTGGACTCCCGCATTACAAATGGTCTAACGACGTGCTCCCTGATTCCGACTACACCACGTATGCTTTCCTCAAACACCATGTGGATGCAGTATGTGCAGCTCAGGACAAGAACGGTTTTCCAATTGCCGGATGCGTTCCGTGGCTACACCTGGAATCAATGCGGAGTTGAATCTGGGTACGTGGTCGACTGCTCTACCAAACGCGCCACATTGGGCATATGGGAAGCGGAATTCCAACAGATGAGGGCACCAAATCCGCTTATGCAAGATGATGGCCTATTTCCGCCCAACCTTCAACGGCATCCTAGCTGGGTATACTCAACGGGGAGGGTTGCGATGCCTACGGCAAGCAACCTCGAACCGGAAGGAATCGTGCACCCTGAGCATGGAAGAACGCCGGGACAATCGCAAGGATCCGCTGCCGGACCTCGAGCCACCCCTAGCCACGGACCAAAGAGGGCAAGGACGGACGAGGCAACGGCATCGGCGTCGTCATCTTCTGCGGCACCTCCTCCACAACAACCGACTTCGCAACCGGAAGAGGAACCATCGCAACCGACATGGGAGGAAGCTCCAATCCCCGCTGGCGCTCAGGAAAGTTGGTACCATTATGTCAACATCGATGAGAAGGGTTGTCGCTCGATCTTGCTGACGACGACCCGCGATCAAGACGAGTACCCACCTACCATTGATGAGACGCCAAAGTTTGTGGCCAACCACGACG